CAACAGGCCAAGTAAATTTTGAGGGCCAGCTTAGATTTCTCTGACTTTTTCCCTTAGGATTCAGTCGCTGTAATCCTCTGAATTATCGACATCATAGTTGATGAACATATTCCCACCATCTTCAGCATAACCATTCGCATCATCATCCTCTTCCTCCTCACTCATCATCTCATCACCTCTGTTCAAAACACCCACACCATAGCCCGACCGGCCCCAATCCTCATATCCAATCAAATCCTCCTCCTCTTCTTCTTCTTCTTCTTCTTCCATGCTGCTACTACTACTGCTCTCATTATTATTCTCAACCATGACATTATTATCCCTAGACCTTGAATTTCTTGGCAACTGCACGTTATTTCTGAATGGGCTCTTATCGTCCAAATAATAATCCTGCAAGGTCTTGTTTTCGGCCTTCTTCTCCGGTCTCCTCCTGACAGTCCTCCGGCCACGCACATTCTTCGGCCCACCTTGCTGCTGCATGAGGATCTGGGCCAGCGTCTCCCCTTGTTTACCGCTGCTGCTCTGCTTGACGGGCCGCCATTTGGGCCCAACATTTTGAGACTTGCTACGCGGGCCCCCACCTTGGGCCCGCGTAGCAAGTGAGAGAGGCTCAACTGGATGGGCTTCCAATTTCTTCTGATCAAAGGACTCAGCCTTCTGGTTCGGAGTATAGAAGATCGACTCGTCAAGCTCCAAAAGTCTCAGAGCCACGGCAGCTGCAGTTTTCGGTATCCAAGGAAGTTGAGGGAGTTCAGAGTAATTACTTGATGGGCCAAGACGCAACAATTCTTCTGTGGTCTCAAAATCTTGGGAGAGATAATCACGTTTAACGGCACCCTCAAGCTGAGTCAGGATCTGCAAAGTTAATTGCAGACCACTTGTGATTATATTTCACCAACCCCAAACAAGATAGAAAATATATCACTCGTGAAAGAGATTGCCCGGATTAAACATATTCTGGCCATATTTGGTATAAAAAAAAAAAATCTAGGCAGAATCATTTCCTTATAAATTAAATTATCATTCATTGTGCACCTGTAGGAGATCCTCGATGGATGACGATTTCTGCAGGTCTAAACCCCACGCTTTCCTACAGTCATCATTCCAGGAGGAATTAAGAGCCTCAGCAGGAAGAGCAACCTGCCATACATTTTTGTTAAATTAAATTTGTTACCATTTGAGAAAATATATGTAAAGACATGCCAAAAGGAAAAAAGAAAAAAATCAATCACTTAGTTGAACACATTTTACCTCAAGCGACGATAGAACGGCCTTGACCAATCTGATTCTCAATGGAGACGAATCTGACATAATCAAGTCTGTTCCATCAACTATATTAATTTCTCCTGAGAAACATCCCCTTGCAACAGCCTTGCTTTGAGTTTGATGGCAAGAATGGCAAATGTCCTCATTAGAATCGTATGTATCAAGACAAATCTCACAAACTCCCAACATAGGTGAGCACCTGTTTTTCCCGTATGCCATGGCACGAACAACCAACGAGCTGAAGCACTCTTTCCATATCCAAGCCTGTAAGTCTTTGTATCTCTTCAGAAAGTTCTTTCTCTCGGTCTCATTTCTACCTGTCTCGATTCTGAAGGAAGATGATGATGGTTCTGGCACATCCGAGTTTGTATTGGAAACTGCACTGCTGGGGCTCTCGACTTCTTGTCCAGCCATCTCACCATCATCATTTGCTATATTGCGGGATAAACAATTCCTTTGTAGACTTTCCTTAAAGCAGGCTTCAATCTTTTCCAGCATTATATGCAGATGGGATTCTCTGGTCCCACGGGTGTCCAAAGATGCAAGGAGAGCATCAAACGCCTGCATACAAACCTTAATTAGATTACTGTATGAAATCATTAAGCTTAAACAAATTGAGAGAGGGAGATCAAACAGAGATGATTATGAGACATTATTTAGCATGTCAAAGATGAATATCTAATTTGATTTCATCTTCAGCCTAGAGTTCAGAGGAAAAGATTTTATTTCAAGCCAAATATAGGACATCATAAAATCATAGGTTAAGGCAAAGTGAGAACGGGTTTTCCAGTGTGAATGCCATTGCCATTATCATATATCTTACCCAAACCAGAATCCTAGACACACATAATGCACATAGTTGATTACTACTTAGCAGCATAAACTTACCCATACTTATTTACAATAGAAAAATCACAGAAATGTAATAGAAAACTAAAAAGAATGAGAAATAGGGAAAAAAAAAATAACTTTGCAAACATGCTATTACCTCCTCAGTATCAATAAGTCTCCAATTGCCATTGGATGACTCGACAAATATTCTGCCCGAACCAGGATCCAAGCAAGAAGCTGTAGCCACAAACTGCCAATAGCGATTTCTCCTTCTGTCTTGACCCAGAGGCAGGGACCTGTAGACATAAAGTTCTTCTGCCTTATGGCCTATATAAGACTTTAGCTGCAAGCGAGACCTATCTGTGGAATGTCCGTTCTGCAGAGCTGGAGAAATAAACTGACCCATGGATGCATCCTGGGCAAGATTATCAATGGAATTTTGAATATTCTCCGCCATTTCATTTCTCCCAATATTGTTTGCTGATGGGTCATACATTTTATTTTCCACAGCAACTAGAGGACACAAACCACTCTCTCCAGCAGCAGCATTGAAAGAAGAATCATAAAGCTTGGAAATGATTTCCTCCCTCAATCGCCTTTTGTCCAGATTGGCTTCGGCCCACATCTGCTTTTTTAGAGCATTTGCAGCATCCATCCGTTCCTGCACGAAATTTCCATAGATAAGAATGCATATAGCCAACTAGAAGCCTCATCTTAAAGTTTTCTACTTTCTTCATGAACTTTAACATCACAGACCTCTAGAATTACACGAAGTGAATTCCCTTCATTCGCAATGCCAATCAAGGCCACAAGAGCATTGAGACGCTCCTCAACCGATAGATCCGAATATTCTCCTTCAGTGAGTCCTTGAACCCAGGGCTCCCCCGACTTGCTTTCGTCAATCTCAACACCTTGTTCAGGACGTTCTTCCCCAGTATCTTCAAAAACATCATCAAGTGAATAATTAATGATAGTCATTTACAGTTTTCAGAATCGACGAAAGGAAGAATAAGTTATATCCCACCGAAAAAAAAAAAAAGATGTGCATATCGTACCAACATTACCAACTTCATTTGGCAGAGCAGCAGGATCAGGAAGCTTGTCTTTAGCATCACTAGAGCATGACCCGATTTCATTGCATTCACCATTTTTGGTTGTATCAACTAATGAAGGAGCTAAAGCATCGACTTCTGCACCCTCAGCAACATCGCTATCTGAATCATCATCCCTTTCTTCCTCTTCACCATTTTGACCAGCCAGAAAACCATTGCCGTAACTCTGTATTTTTTCTTTAGCGGAAGCAATTACTGATTCAGCATCAGCAGGATCCTTTCTGAAAGCTGGACGTACACAGTATGTACAAGGAGCAATTCTTTCAAACAGTACCGGATCCCTCGACAAGGCAACAGATATAGAAGCTTCCGGAGTCTTGCTTGTCGTCAGGTCACGGAGCCCAGATTTCTAGAGAAAAATAAATTAGGTTGTTAGGGAGGGAGAAAAAACAAGCAAGAGCTGATGTACAAAATTGTAGCTACTACTTACTTGAATCTTGTCAGCAAGTTCAATAACATTTAGTCCTTTGCTTCTCTCAAGAGCAAGAACATGGTATGCAGCAAATTTAACAGTTCCAGGAGTTAAGCGGTGCCTGGATTTACGTTGGAGGGTGGATCCTTTCTCTTGCATAATTGCAACGGCATTCTCAACAGCTGAACCATTTCGCAAGGTGGACACAACCTCGTCACAGCCTTTATTCTGAAAAGTAACAAGCATGTAGCAATGGTGAGACATCTACAAGAATTCAAGGATGTGTAGTTGTGTCAAACGGAATTTTATGCCACAGCTTTTATACTTCACAATACATTATCTTACGGGTGATACCAACAGGCACAAATTTGAAAAGTCAGAGGAAGACTAATCCGGTAAACTGAGAGGGANTAAAGTACCTCATCATTGTCATTTGAGGAAACCCGATTGGTGCCCGTTCTCTTCAACTGTGGCCCAAAACCAGCAGATAGAGCAAATTGCCTTAATACCTCTGGCCATGTTAGTGGATTTAAGTGCTTCTGCCAGTTTCTTATGTCGAAACCCCATGCATATGCCTGTTACAGTTTAGGAAATGAACATTACTGCAGCAATATCCTAAAATAAGCAATTGGGAAGCACTAAAATGAGGGAATACCCCTTGAACAATATGAGGATGCCCTCCTTCAGGATTAACAGCACTATATTGGTTTGTGCCTGGTCCAGTTGAAGGAGTTCTCACAACATCTCCAATATCTTTTATAACAAGTTTCAGAATTGCAATATGTACCTCACCAAGCAGCCTTGAATCCTGCAAAAGGGAACATTAATACTTCAGATGTCACACCCAATAGCTATTCCTTAAAACAGAAAGAATGATAGAGAGCACAAGGGAATGGCAAAATAAGATCAGCTAGCAACGAGCATGAGAACAAATCATATCCTCACTTACATAGTCATGCAAAGCTTGTATGAATTCATCAATGGTAAAAGGCCAAAGCCCAAGAACATCTGCAAATGTTACGCAAAATTTCCAGACCTGAATGAAGCAAACATTATTTCAGAAATTAATAAGCATCTCTGCGGTTTATTAAAGGAAAAACACATAATATACAATAGACAGAATAATTTCTTTATTTTTTTAAAATTATTACCATCATGAGATTGCCAACGTTTTCATCTGAACCCATCCAAGGTTGGATGGCAAGAGGCATTTTCAATTGTACAGACTTTGGAGGGAATTCACACAAGGCATCTGAATCACATTAAATGTAACTCAGATTTTGAAATTTTGGGTGTTAGTTTTAACATGATACAAGGATTCTAATCAGTTTATATATAATAGTATTGTCGCAAGCCATACCGACCTCGAAACAACTCAAGATTTTGCAAAGAGTCATAGTCGAGAGACAGAATTGAAGGAAGCCCTTTGCTTGAAGCAGCCAATTCCATCATCTCCAGGCGCTCATCTTCTATTAAATCCATGGACTCTTTAGCAATTCTCCGTGCCACGGCTCTCTCCATGGCAGCTCTCTGTCTTGCTGCTTCCTTCTCTCTCCGGAGCTCCTCTTTCTGTTTCCTTCTCTCTGCCTGGCATAAAGAAAATTAAAGTGAATGTAATTGTCACCCAAAAAATGACATTACTTAAAAAACAATTAAACAGAAATAAGAATGTCGTGAAATGTACTCGCAAAAGTTCCTTTTGCATAAATTTCTCTCTCCGTTCCATTTCACGCCTCTCCTCCCGCTGAAATTTCTCCTCCTGCTTTTGCTGCTCTCGCATCATTCGTATTTCTTCTTTCCTTCGTTCACGATCTTGTCTCTCCATTTCTTTCCTCATTTGCTCCTCCCTCTAGGAAGGACAATACAATAATATTGCAGGACTTCAGCAAAAAAACTTAACTTAGCTTGAGCAGTTCAAGATTGTTAAAGAGCGAAGTGCAGACCTTTCGCCTCAAAAAATCTCGCTTCTCAAGCTCTTTCCGAATTTTCTTTTCATCGGCTTGAACTTCTCTTCCAAGTCGAGCTTCATCACTCTACAAGATAAAATTAACAAAAGGACTTATATGACAGAAAGAATAATTAAAACATGCGGCAACACCATTGCAATTATCTGTAGATACCTTGCGTTTTCTCTCCATATGCGGACTGTTATCATCGGGTATAACAAAATCCGTATTAACCGGAGATGATGCAAACTGCAATTGCCTGCTTGGCTTATGAGAATGCATATCCATGTCTGATACCTGGCCTTCAACATGATCCCTGGACAGATACCCATTTAAATGAATATTAGACAAACCTTTTGCAGTAGGACCATTACGTGAGTCATGGACTTACGATGGGGTCGCATGCCCATAGGCGTCGGTTCTAATTTTAGACTCCACTCCCTGAGTACCAGTATATGCAGCAGCCTGAGAATAGAGTAATCAAACATTTAACAAATCATTTGACAATCATATTCATAAATAATCAATAAGTGATGTAAATCCACATTTGTTAGAGAACCAACTTTGACATGCTTCATGTCATAGTTCCCATGCAAATCGCTATCATAAGAACGTACGGATCTGTTTTGCTGCTCTCTCGGCACTGTCATGAAACATAATTTAAAAACAAGATGTTAGTAGTTTTACACTAAAACCTCCCAAGCCAATTGATGATGCAACTATTGAAGGAAAAAGCAACATATAACCCAAAAGATCAAGTCTACAAATATCAGAAGCAACCCAGTAGCCACTAGGAAAAAGAGGCAGAAACTCTTAAAAGCCTTTAGACTCCCAATTTGAAGCTAAAAGAAATTTAAATACTAATGAGCAACACAATCGTATAACCTTAATGCTAAAAAAGCTTGGCCTTGCTGCCTTGATACATCGAACATTTTCAACAAAGGCATATAATCATCAAGTTCATCCATTTACAAATATCAGTAATTTTCCATCTTTGATTCCTACAGCCAAGACAACATTACAATAGAACTAAAAAAAGTGTACCTATGGGTGCACCAAATGCACCAGGGGGCAGATCACCAAACTCGACTCCGAGAATAGGCCCATCTTCCCTTAATGGCTCTCCCAACTGTGCCTCCACACAAGCTATCACTCTTCTCTCCAGAATCGCCTGAGGTGACTCATAATACCTTAGTGGCACCATTGGAGTATCATCTCCATTATTGAACCCACTAGAACCTGAACCTGACCCTGACCCTGATCCAGAACCAGAGCCATGTTCACTGACAGGCTCAACTGACATTAACTCCTCTCTTGTGGGCTCAATGAATCCCTTCCTCCCAGTGGGCCCAGCGGCTCGTGGCTTTGTGGCTGAGGCACCTGATGCCTCCTTCTTATCCTTCAACCGCCTGTGGCAGAACCACATCTGCAATTGCCGGTCGGTTAAACCTAATTTCTGTGAAAGTTCTGCACGAATCGCCTCAGATGGGTACATGTCCACTGGTGGAAAAAAAGGAGCACAAATGTCATCAATGGACCATACATCCCAGAGGACTCGATAGAAAAAGGCCCTTACACACATAAACATTTAATCCACAATTTCTGGTTCAATAAACCAACATAAATTCAAGAGCTTTTTTTATTTGGAGCCTTAATACTATGTCTAACCAATAGAAAATCTCTATCAAAATCAAAAATGCCAAAAGAATTACCAGATTAATCAGGAAAAAAAAAGAAGCAAAACAACAGAGAAGACCAACATTCACAGCCCCATTCAAATCAATAATAACAANTACAGGCATATGTTTTCTCGAGCATCTCCAACTGAAACGGCGTCTTCATCTGACGCTTGGGCCTCTTCGACCCCTCCGTCTGATCCATATCCCTATTAGCATCTCCCCCAGAGCCAGCCTCCATGGGAGATCAATTCGCAGACCACAAACCCCAAAAAATTCAAGACTTGACCACCAAAAAGACTAGGGTTCGAACAACAAAACAATAGAAAAATCGCCTCTCCTTATCTCGGCAAGAAAGAAACCAAAAAAGGACAGAAATTTGACGCACATGTGATGTGCAAATAACACAAATAATGATGATAACGCCAATACCATATAGAGGGACAATGTATCATGTATAAATATAAGAGAAGGTTGTGGCGAATGAGAATACCAAAAATTAGAGAGAGAATCGAGGAAATCAGAGGAAAATTGGAGATTCAAAGAGAGATTAGTAATAAAAATGAATAAAGTTGAGAAATTAAAAGCAACGCCACCACCACAGTAATAGTATCGTGTTGTCTGGCTCTTGGTTCTATCAAATTCCATCCTTTTTCTCCAACAAATTTCCTCCTTTTGTTGGGAAAAAATTACGTCTATATTTCGTGAGTGAAATTTGTTATGCAAAATTTCGTTTATTTTATTTAATTGGTACTCTTTTTCTTTTCCTTTTGTAAGTGTGTTTTTTGGGCAAAAATGTAAGCGTCAAAAGCTGAAGACTTTTTCTAACATGTTTCTGGATGTTTTTTGTATTTTTGTGGTTTGCTCGACTTGTAATCTTTTGTTTCATGGTTTTTGGCGCAACGAATCTGATGCACGGCTTGCGGCTTTGTTGTACATTGGGCTTTAGGAGTAAATGGGCCACAGATCAAACATGGGCTTAAAGTGAATTGTTAATGGGTTGGATAAACGTGAACGATGTGCTATATCCGGTTTTCTTTAGTTTCTGCTTTATTTCTAAGTTGAATATTATATTTCGAAAATTATATAAATAAAATTATGATATTTTCATACCATAAATATTCATTTATTTTAAAATATAAATATACTTTGCAAGTATTTTACCCCTTTTCCCAATTAAATATTTGCAAGAATTATGTATATGGTTGTACATTTCCTATTAATTATTATTCAAATGTTTGATGATCGATCTGTCATACCTTTTGATGGATCAATCTGTTATACCTTTTCTATAAAGAAATCAATTTAGCTTAAAGATTATAGGTTGTTAGAGTATCACTTATGAGTTGTCCCACATTGATTTTATAGGGAAATTGGACCTAGCTTATATGCCTAGTGAGTTACTCCTCCCGTCACCAATTGATTTTTTGATGAATTTTCACTATGATGCACCCTAATTTGTGGGTTACTTAACCCTAGTTGTATTTTGTTGGTGAATTTAATAAATTTGGCGTTGCGGTTGGCGGTGCCCGGAGACGTAGGCTATTTTCGCCGCCGTTATCAATTTTTGTGTCATTTTTATTTCTTGTCTTTTATTTATTTGTGTTGGCTTATTTTCGTTTGAAGTAGTGCTTGCTATATTTATTGGAGGGGTATTTTTGTCCGCTGCGTTTGGTGTTCTACCCCAACATCACCTGCGTGAGACGGGACTCTCTTAGCCCACCCTCTTATGTCTTAACCCACCCTCTTATGGTGCGCTTCACCTACGTGGGATTGCACCCTCTTGCCCCAATTCTCTATTCTTACATAGACATTAGTTATTTGTTGGAGATTTGCTATTATCTTTATTTCCATAATTTTTATCCTTTTATTTGTTTTCTTTGTTATTGGACTTTACTATTGTTCTATATTATTCGATGGCATATCAATATAATTCATATCATTTTTGTGGACAAATTTTGTTACAGCGACAACAATCAAGTTTGAGTATTATCTAGATTTGACCAACATTTTACATATTTGAGATGGCGTCGAGATGCACATTTGAAATCAGTTGAATTCGAGTGTTGAAATGAGAATAAAATTAGTAAAAGTGGAGAAATGTTAAATTTGATTAATGTTTGTCCCACATTGCATATACAAAAGATGTGTAAAATCTTTTTAATATAGATAGATCTCTTGCTTTGTTGTTTATTCTGTTCTGTCATGTTTTAGAAGTAGATTCTTAATTAAATAAATCTTAATTTGTTGATTATATGACCATGGTTATATTTTGTTTTTGGGTTTTAGTTGGCGGTGCTCGAATACCTATGTAACATTGACTAAAATTCGTTACCAATTTTAGGTGTTCTTTTCTTTTTCATATTTTATTTATTTGTGTTTACTTATTTTTATTAGTAGTGGTATTTGTCATTATTGTGATAACCTAACATCATCCATCCACATAAAATTTTTAATTATTGGATCAAAATACACTCACATAGATGTGTTTGTTTGGATCCAAAGAATAAAAACACACATGGTATCTTCACCATTATGATCAAATCTTCCCACACAAAATCTAAAATGTTATCAACGGAAGAAGCTCCTCCAATAACTAAAAAATTAATTAAATTAAAGAGGAAAGAAAATGTCTCGATAAGTTGTACAAAATACACCCACAAACAAGAAGACGACATCGAATATGTTCGAATTAATCAATCTTTCTCCGACACCACGCAACAACGCGCTCATCCATCTCCCTCATCTCTTCTCAAATTCCTCTATTTTTCACTTCCGCCATCACCGAATCTTGGCAGTTAAATTGTCCTGCTGCGGATTCAGCTATGGCGACGAGAATGGAGCTGTCCTATTTGGGTCACGATCTCTTAAGAGCTTCAAGAAAAAGAGGGGTAGCGATTTTAGGACCCTCTTGAGAGCAAGTCGCAGAGAATCCCCGTACGAGGTTTTGGGCGTTCCCCAATCTGCAACTGCTGATGAAATCAAAAGGGCATACCGGAAACTAGCTTTGAAGTATCACCCTGACGTTAATAAAGAGGTATTTGGGATCAATAAAATTGCTGCCTTTTGCTTTATCCTGTTCAAATTTGCGAACTTTGAAGGTTCTAGGAGTTGGGTTCTTGAATTTATGTAATTGAGTTTTGGTGGATCGTGTTGTTAATTAGAGAAAAATACAAATCAGTGGCCTTAGATTTTAGGGGGGGAAAAATTGAGTCTTTCCTCGATAGTGTTCTCTCCTACTTAGTTTGGTAACAGGCAATATGAGGTTTTGGATTTTTTTTTTCCAGTTCTTGCTGTAAGTTTGGGGAAGAACAAAAGAAAACTAATCACATATTCTGGTATGGACTACAAACTTTTGGATGAATACAATGTGGTGTATAAAAGTATATATTTTTGCATTTAGGGGTGGAATTAACTGATTTAAGAGTGTGTATTCGTTTCGGATTTTGAGTGACATTTGAAAACTTTTTTAAAATATGAGACTTTTAAGAGGAATCCTTGGATATCTTATGTGTAGCTGTGGAATTTGGCCTGAGATTTTGTATAAGGTTATTGTTTGTTGGTTAAACTCTTTTCCATATTGTGGAATTTAGGCAAATGCAAAGGACAAATTTATGAGGATAAAGCATGCTTACAATACTTTGCTGAATCCTGAATCTCGGAGCAAATATAACACTGGGGATCGAACATCAGATTTCTCCTACTCCAATGGACGAAACAAAAATGCCCAAGAAGAAGAATTTTATGGATTGGGTAAATATCTAAATGCTAGAAGAACTGTATGGATTGGGTAATTATCTAGATGCTTCTTGAACTTACATTGTTTGGCTCTGTGGTTTTACCTAATGATCACTGATGACTGATGAGAAGATAGTAAGAAGCTCGCATTCCCAGTTGACTTCATTGAAAAATGTCACTGTTAATTTTCTTTCATCCAAATTTGTGTTTTTTCTTGTCTGTTTTCAGTTTCGTTCTTCGGTCTCTATAGTTTTTAGGTTTACTATCTGTTTATGTTCATTTTGCTTATACTTGAAATCCCTGTACGCTGCAGGTGAATTTGTAACGGATGTTCAAATAGCGATAGGTAGAAAAAGTTGTACTCTTTTCCACACTTCTGGCATTGGTGTGATTTACTCTTTCATAACTTCAAAAACCTTGTTGTGCATTTTTCCTGTAAAGCCCTTTAATAAAAATGCAGTACACTCCCTAAAATAAAAATGCAATACTTGCAGGTGACTTTTTTAGAGATCTTCAAGAAGAATTTCGAAATTGGGAAGCAAGTGCCTCTTCACAGGAGAAGCCAAAGAGTCTATGGGAGGAACTTGCGGTAATAAAATAATGATGACATTGGATTAAAAATTAGTTACAAAGAAAAATTTATAATATTCATCTGAATTTGAACGGATCGCATTTTGGAACAAGCTTATGTGATTATGTCATTTTTGCCCTCTGCAGGAAATTGGGGAAGAATTTGTGGAGTACTTAGAAAAGGAGCTCAACATAATGGATTCAGTGACTGAGCCAAATGAGGAGGCTGGTGAAGAAAATACTTTCACGAGCTTCTCGGAAGAGAAAACAGAAAGCCCAGCTGGAAAAAGTAGCAGTCTTGAGGAGAACATTGACGAAATAGAAGCTACGCTTGCAAAGTTGAAGAAGGAATTAGGTATTTAGTTCAATAGTTGGGCAATCTGTAATTTTTTTGCTATTTTCAACTGATCCTTTGTTCATCGTTTTCTATTTTCTTGTAATAGCAATTTCAGGGTCCAGGGTTTTGATTTTCTGACCTTATTTTTATTTGTAAAAGCTACCAGCATACTACATACATATTAATATTTAATTTCGATTATTGACAAAATGCTAATTTTTTTAAGGACGAAATTGAAATGAAATCCACCAGCATCTAAGTTGTGTTTTCTTTCTTCCTTTTTCCATTTCGTAATTGTGAAAGGTTGCCCTCATAGCTACAGCGATCTTACATCTATGGGCTTATTATATGTCCAATTATCTTGGTAGGCCGTTGGGTCATTTTCTCTTAAATCGGACCACGTTACAATTCTTGGTGGCTTGGGCTTCTAATTGGGCTATTACCTGAACTTTCACATATTTTTATTCTTTAGCCCATTCTACAAGCCCAACTCTGAATGGTGGGTAGCATGCCTGAATTTACTCTAAGACTCAAAAGCTCTATCACTCACATGCTCCTCATATAATTATTACTAATAGTAATCTTTCAACATTTTATACATATTTATATTTTAGAATATCATACTTTTATTAATAAAATGTTATAATTTTGTTTATATTATATTTTCAATGAATACTTATTAATAAGCTGTTGGACTCAAATCTTAGCATCAAAATTAACGTGAACGCTACATCAAGTAAGTGTTAGCTAGTATGACAGTTACAATATTGGATGAACACAATCCAGAAGTTAAGTTAATATATGCTAATTAAACACTTAATTATATATATATGATTATTATAGATATGAACCTTGACGACACTATTTTACACTATTTCCAATTCCACGCTAAAAGTGCCGATGAACAACATGAGCAACAAAACTTCCTTTTTTTCTCTTTTTTAATTATTGACAAGGGTCGTGTTTTCAAACATTAAAAATTTTAAATTTTGACATCAATTTGAACTATACACTCTATATTAAATTAATGAATTATATTCTTTTATCTTAAATTAAATTAAATTATATATCTTATTGTTTGATTGTTGAATACTACTGTTTGCATTCAATATTCAGTCATTATGCAACTTAAATCTTTATATTTGTTATCTAAAAATTTATTTAATTTTTATATATGATGATTTTCATGCCAAAATAGCTCGTACAACATGTAACCAAAATTTATTTAATATATTAATGCCCATCTTTCAAATTATATTCATGATAGGATCAGTTTGTCCCGTGAACTTGTTTTATATATTTCTGAATTAANCTAGAAAAGGGAAGTACATAGCAAAAAGATAACCCTACCACTGAACCGAAGACCTAGCAAGGTTATCTCAAAACCTAACAAATCAACATAATACAAGCAACTGAAAAAAGAACTGTGGAGAAAAAAACAAGAAAAAAAGAAAAATAACTGTGAAAAAAAGAAAAAAAACAAGAAAAAAAAAACAAGAAGTGTGTGAGTTTGTTAATAACCTATTTTTAGTGCCAATTTATTTGGAAGAATAAACAAGAAAAAAAGAAAAAGAAAATAACTGTGGAGAAAACATGGTCATATAAGAAGCATCATAATATTGTTCCTTGAATTCAGGTCATTCATACTCTTTAACATATCTACCAAAATAAGGGACCCTCAGTGCAGTATTTCGAGAGTGGAATTAAAAGGGGAGGAAAAGCCAATTCGCACAAAAATGTATGCTGAAAAGTAAATTATAGAGACATCTAATTATTGCTAGCAAGGGTCCATTGTTTTTCCTTCAATTTTATTTTCCCCCCTTTCAGTGATTCCTTCATTAATATTTTTTCATGATAACAAATGATTGGGTGCTTGACCTTATAGTTAGCTCTCCCTCTACCACAAACATATTGCACTAAAAAGTTAGATGGATGAGATTTATTTCTATTGAAAATTGAAAATTGATTGTATTTAGTTTCATCTCAGTCATTTAATAGGAGCAAAGGTAGTTACATTCATATTTAGTAATTTTGTATCATAAACTTATATGTTAATAGATATATATTTCATTCAAAATTTATTTTTTCGATTATGATTTTCGCATATGATGTAGCTAGTTATTAGAGTTCGTTTGATAGTAAATAAATGATCCATTCATGTCAAATATTACCCACTGTAAAAAAAAAAAATCTATTAATTCCAACCAAATATTCAGTGACGAGTATTCAACAATATTGAAAAGTTTAGTTTTTTTTTTTCCAACGTTAACAATATTAATACTAAAAACTCAAAAGAGTACAACCGAAGTGTCAAGTGACACATTGCAACCAGAAAACTGGACCAACCCCCTTGTCGACATACACAAGGGGTACAAACTCCATCAAGGAGGCGAACACCCGTAAAACAAAATTCCATAAAGGAGAGAAAAGCAGACAAAGCTGCACTAAAAGCAGACACAACTGCACTAAACGAAACAAAACAACAAAATAAATATTAAAAGCAACACACACCTAATAAACAACAAGATAAAGTAAAACCTCCCCTCAACCTAACAGCTGAAACCCAAAACCGCTTGAACCGTCTACCAAGTCACACCCCAACAAAGAAAACCAATCGAGCACCAAAACTAGGTTCCAAACCCGAAAACTGCGGTCACTCTACCGCCTAGACGAATTTTCGACCCAAATCTGAGTCTGGAAGACCTTCACCGTCGAAAAAAAAAAAGAGAACCATCACGAACCCGCTGGAGGACTAGAAGGGAGAGATCGAGGAGACGACAACTTGAAACCGAGCCCCCCGGCCCGAAGGGCCTGCAGCCCGGCTGAACAGGGGCGCACGGGCCGCGAGTTGGGCTCGCCCAAGGCAAAATTAGTCTCCAGGAAGAACATGGCCACACAGATCGAGCCTCCAAACGGACCGACGAACTCCAGCGGCTGGGCCTTGCAAGCGTAGCCGACGACCTCGCCGGAGACAAGGGAGAGACCGAGGAGCGAAAATCGCCGCTGGCCAACCACCCGCAAAACTCCTAGAGGCAAAAAGGAAGCACCCAGCCGCGACTTGGCCAGAACGGCCCGGTGACCACGGGAGTCACGCCGCCAAAAAAGGGGGGGCTGCGTTGGGGATAGGGTTTTCTTTTTTTCTTTCGCGACGGGGAAAGGGGAAAGGGGATAGGGGATAGGGTTTTCTACCGTAAAATTATTTTGTATGTGTGTACACAAGAAATATTGAAAAGTTTAGTTGGAATTAGTTTTTTTATTGGAATTTCTTTTAAATTTGATGAATTCAATAACAATTTCTTCAAATATTTTTTATACATGAATTATCATTGAAATATGATATTTTCATTGTAATTAGTTTTTCGTTGATAATTCCAACACTTGAAAATATTGTCGTTTGAATCGTGAATATCCAGCAAAATATTTTTATCGAAATTTTTGTTGAAAAAATCCAACAAAAATTATAACAAATATCTATCGAAATTGGTGTTATTAATATTGTTTACCACTCAATTTAATAATTTTCTTGTAGGTATTGCTAGGCTAGAAAAATTCCAACCACAAACTACCAAAAAATGTCCATGCATGCAAATAAGGATTGGTCATTCCCAATAAAATTGAGATGCATAAACTAAGGAATTGAGATGCATAAACTAAAATGTTTCCAGCTGTTTGATTAGTCATTCCCAACAAAATTCCAAGCCCCAAATAATTTTTTATTTATACGGATTTGTTCTCATTACGTAGAGAAAATGAAAAGGCGAATAAAATAATTAGGGGCGATTCTTGTTGCGTCATTCATTATGTAACACTGTTTATCTATATCCCCCTATTTTTAAGCTTCAGTTTGGCTGCAAACGGAGGAGAGTTCAATAATTGACCTCCCTTGTCTGCACAATTTTGTTAGTTGGACATGATTTGACAATTATCATCCATGATTATTTTATTTTCATAATTGTTAAACTAATTGTGCTAGATAAAATCTATATATTTTTTGTAATACCCCTTTTGAGCTAACTAATTAAAGGTTCAATTACATCATATGTTTGAGATGTTTGGTGAACAAAATTTTAGATTAGTTTTTATATATCCCAACTGCAAAACTCCAATTAACTAAAGTCTTAACTATAAGAGACTTGTAATCAGGCAGATAAATGTGCATTAAGAATCTAGAAAAATTAATGTTAAGATATTAGAGATATTGCTAATGATGCCCTCATTCACTTTGTCCACTCTCCAACTGATCATCAACATGATTCTGAAATTCTAGTAGTTAGTTATATCTGGTCCAACAGCTAAGCCTACCACAATAGCACAAAGCATAAAGTTACCAATTGTACAGTCCTTCGAAAATTTTAATAGAATTTTTGAATGAAAATTAATTAAGATCACAATTGTCATCTGGAGTGAATAATGGTTGTATAGGAGCTTGAATGCAACTGCATTATAATTAACTTTATGAACGGACCACTGGGCTTTAACATTCCAAGTGTTTGCTTCTTTGTGTTTCTTAAGTGAAAAAAAAAAAGAAAAAGAAAGAAAAAGGTTCTCTATTTTCCATCAAAGAATGACCTTTTACTTTTGCTGTTTATGAGTAATAAAAATTAAATAAACAACCAGCCTGATTCTTGGTCCCTAGATTCATTATTAGTGTCCTCAGATTCTAGCTGCACTAACTTGCTTGATTAGTAAATTAAATGCAATAAAATACTACTTTTTTTTTTTTTTTATAAATGTCATTTTAACTTTATTAATAATTGTCTAAATAAATTACGTTTTGGATCTTTTGTACATATTTTTTCATTATTACCCTTATCTAGCTAATAAATACACTACGTATTTTCATATTCATTCTTTATCTTTTCGCAAAACATCCATTTCTATCCTCAATAATGAGGATTATTATTGGTAAAAAAAATATTCTTCATTAGTGTGCAACTTATATCTATTAAAAAAAGAGGGAATACTTTTAATTAAAGTACTACTAATTAACAATTATAGCATTTGTACTATCATGATCATCTTGAATTAATTTAATTACTTTTCCCATTTATTTGCGAACTTTCATGTTGTAGCAACAATTGATGAACATATTAGGTATTTATTTTCTTCACCAAAATTGCAAAATCCCAGGCTTTTTGTGTTTTACAAAACGTCAACGTCTTTGGAGATCAAGATTTAATACGGTAACCAACTCAGTCAAGGAAATTATTGGTTTTGACTTCATAATTTTTTACAAGAA